AAAAGATCACTTATACAATGTGTCACATCGTAAACTGTGAGAAAAGACTATGAGAAAAAGACTAAGAGAAGAGAATATGTTGCATATAGAATTATAAGAAAAAGTGAAGTTAAATTGCCCAAGAATGGATGCTTTGGATGTGATAGAAATATTTAAATTCCTAGTTCTATCAGAAGAAAAGTTTATGTGCAAACTATATCAGGAGAAAAGTTTGTCTCATGAATAAAGAAGGTTTTTAAAGTTGGGAGTACACGAATTACATGTCATAACTTTACTAAAACAATAACAGAACCAAGAACAAAGCAGAATCTTTCAGTAGATGTCAACATTCTCACATTCAAATTCTCAGATGTCGGCAGATGTAGATTAGATGGCTGAGACACCTGAAAACATTCAAGCCTCAATATATAGTAGTCTTAGGATATACTCATCTATGGTTAGGACAAAGAAATATTCAAGTGATGGCAAGGGCATGGAAATCAAATTTCCATAGAAAAAATTAGATGATAATATTTTGTAAGCAGAAAGTATGTCATGAATGGAAAGATTACAGAATTAACAAAATTTTTAAAAAACTAAAAATCATAATATATTTTTCAGATCACAAAGAGGAATTGACAAATCTTCAAGAGTTATTGTCCCATTAGTGCTCTGTGGTGTACTTATGCTTATGTCTGTCTGTCTTTCATGATGAAACTCTTGAGACATGCAAAGACATTGTTACAGATATGTGACCCACTAGCATGAATTTATAGGTGTTAAAACCCAAGTAAATAATGCAATTACGTTTAGTGATCAAAATGGCACCCTTCTTCATTCTTAAATTTATCTATAAAATACTAACTAGTAATTTTTATAGAAGTATTAAAGTGAAGTTCAATACTTTCCTAGAAGTGATAAACATAGTTATGAAACATGAATATGACATGTGAAATACACTACTACTATGTGCTGAAAAATTGAGAGTTGTGCATTTCTGTTCCACCGAGCCCACAAGGAGTTGTTTTGTTTGAAATGAACTTTTCATTTTCATCTTATTATTTACCATTTTTGCATTATTTGGCAGTGTTATCTAACCTGTATTTTATTTATATTATTATGTTACATTAGTTAGTCATAATATACCATAAGTCACATTTCATGTTTTTTGTTTGTGAGAACTTGATGTGGATGAATGAGGCTAGCAACCTTGGAAGACAATGTCATTACAACAAACTCTATTGATATGTATTTTGTTCTGCCTAATGTCAAGTGTCACACAGGCAAGAAGAGTGGAACGAAGATTTAGAACACAATATAAGCAATGATGATGAACATCAGTCGGTAGCAAAAGTATGACTCAAGGTATTCATTCGTGATAAACCTACATGGTAAGTGTGGTGTGATACACTTTGCTTGGGCTATCTCATAACCTTTGAAATATATTAAGGACTTAAGGTGATCAAAAATTATTACAGAGAAGATTTTCATTTGGAAGGCAGAATTCTTTAAAATTTGGCAAAATTCTGTTTATTGTTTTGCAAGACCCAATAATTCATTTGCAGTGGAACATTTCATAAACCTGAATATAACTTCACATTAAATGTAATAGTATTTTATTAGGATCAATAAAACAGAGCAAAAGAATTGATCTTTAAAAAATTGTTGCTCTGCATGAAAAATATTATTATGCTTTCATTTCGAAAGCAATAACAAAATACGTTTCATGTGCTCACAGGTGTGTTTGTGCACCAGGTCATGTATTGTAAACAAAATAAAATAAAAAATAATATAATCACTCACAATTTACTTATTTAAACTGTTATTCCAAAATCAACCATTTCCTTGACAAAAAACATACTGAACAGTAATGTGTTATAGTAAAATTATTGTGACTGAATAAAGATAAGAATAAAGACATGGTATGTTTTCACAAAAAATGTTTCGAACAATAATGTTATAAGTACATTTTCTAAATCCCCTTGGCACCTGAACACATTACTGAAGAAAAAAGTATAATAATTATCAAAAAAATATGAAGAATAATGAGATGACGAATAACCCACAGTTAAGTTTGAAAAGAAATACTCTAAAGTAGGTCTTGCTTTTTAAAAAAATACGTTTCATGTGCATAACTCCTGTGAAATAACTCCTGAAGAGGAGTTATTTCATTTTTGATAGCATGTATAAATTGATGATAGATGAACACACGTTAAGTAATATTAGAAAACAATACATACAATGTTAAACATTATCAGTTGAAAATACTTTAATGAACACTATGATTTTTTGATAAAGTCATAATCCGGAAGAAATGTGTAGCAAAAATATCCCCTTTTATTCAGTATCATTTGGTATATCAATTCTGCAATTTAATTGAAATGCAATTTCTGAAATACTACAAAATCATCTTGAGTAATAGTAGGAAATCTCATGGAACAATGTAATCTCAGAATTAAAAAAAATTGTTCAATTAGTTATCAAAAAGAACTATTTAACCAAAAAACTAAAGTATAGTAGAAAGTGGAAAAAAAACGTTGGATACCGTTTGTGGTGCTTTCTTGAGTAAATCAATCAAATCATGAGAAGTAAATTTATCATAAACATTACTAACAATAAAATATGGAACATTGCACCAATCAAGAACAGAACTATTTGAATGAAATTTGCCTTTTCCTACAGTATTAGTTATTATTTGTCACACAAGAACTCAATTTTTAAGTAGTGGAGATTTCTCGAGAAAATTTTTAAAAGATTAGAGTTTTAGGTATCATTAGAATTCTTAAAAGATATCTCATTCACCAGCATGCAATTTTAATTCAAAAGCAAGTCAATAGTGAAATGGAAATTTCAAAACAATATTTTCCACTTTGATTTCAGGGAACACTGAGGTTACTTGGGGGAATTATTGTGTGAACTGTTCTAAGCCTTGGAGACGTGGTGGAAATGGACACGGCTGGGAGGTGGACACTTCGATTTAATTGTATTCCGACCTTGAGCAGACTGCTGTTAGGGTAATATTCACATATTTTCACAGTTTGGGCATTCGGGGACTGACTCTAACCAGGACGAGTGAGATTTCACATTTATAGATTTTAGAAATGGGTTTGAATCTAAAACAGAAACACATTTAGTCCATTTTCTTAGCTATTACCATTTTCAGGTTTTAACAATTGATACACAGAATTGTAAATTTAAGAAAATTATTTTCACAGTATACTATTTATATTGTGTAAGGAATTAAAATATGTTTACTTATGAACATTTAACGTTCATATTTAATTAATTTGTAGAATACATAATGTTCTATATTTTTATAATACAGTCCAATGTATGGCCTACACGTTGTACCAAACTTCTTTGTGCTTGACGTTTGAGGATCATGTGTTAACGCCGGCAGTGGTTTTCTTGTGACATCCAATAGCAGTAGGTTTTATCAATGTCGTAATCTACCTTATGAAGAGGATAAGAGCCACGTATTTGAGACGCATCAACTCTAAATTGCACTTCATTAAAAATATCCAGACAGTATAGATATCGGACTGAAGAATAACAAATTATACATTTGATATTTTAGCGTGCACGGGGCCAGAGCAGTAATGCACGGCAACGCTGGCTCTACTGAGGCCCTGGTGTCAAGCATTAAGACCTTTGGTTCAACGTATGATGAAATATTTTGCTTTTGTTAAACAGGGGCGGATCCAAAGACAAATTTTGGAAGGGGAAATTAAAAATGTGTTGGTCGAATGTGTCATATTACAAATTTTGTAAAATGTCGCAAGTTACACTCAGCTCGTGCTGCGATTCGATTTTATTCGTTTTAATGATTATCCGAAAATATTTTTGCTTGAAAGTTTCGTGACAAGTTAAAAATAATAGAGTCTGAAAAATTGTAGGAGGGAAATTTCCTTCATTTTTCTCCCTGTGGATCCGCGCCTGTGTTAAAGCATGTCTTGTTTCACTGCCTCAAACCCCTAATGTAATTGTTTCCTCCACGCTAAACTGGAACATGCTGCAATAACTTAGTTGGATTTCAATTTGGGAGATATTAGTTTAACACCTGAAATTTAACAAATTATATAGAAAAAATTGTTTAGAGCTTGTTACGTAGCAAGAGAGCTGTGAATAGTTCAAAGAAGTCTAAGGCAGTAGTAGTCGTAAAAACAAAATTGGACAGATTTTTTAAAACGAAAATGTGTATCTGCAATATTGTTAAAACAAGATTGAAAAACCAAAAATTACAAACTTGTATTCTTCATACCTTTTCATTTTGAAGCGAGTTCCTTCTCACGGCAAGAGCTAATTACAATGAATTAGGATTTGAATGTTTAAGCAGTTCCGAACTCGGTTAACGGAAAGTCATGTAAAGGAAACTTCTTGAACATGTACGATAAATAAAAGTGAAATAACGATGTCAATTATTGTTTTCATCCGCAAACCTGTGATACCTCACATTTAATAAACTTTCTTCTTCCCCAGCTTATCAAAAATCGCAAAGGAAATCACAAGTTTTAGGTACATGTCACACACGTAATTTAAACAGTAATACACTGTTTTACAAAAAAGATATAGCCAATGTGATCAGTGGTTTCACACCTGGCCGTGCAGAAATGAAACGACAGTAACACAATGTGAGTCCGTAATTTATTTTTTTTCGCTGTGTTCGTAGTTGTGCGAACAATAATCGTGGCATTGGACAAGTACATCTACTTGTGCCCTTGTAGTGAGTTGAAGCGATTTGGAACACCGAGACGACGTTGGGGTGGCGTGGCGAGCGGGCAAGAGTCGAGTCCGACCACAGGCGTCACACGCCGGAACCAGAGGCCCTGGGCAGCGCGGGCGCC